GTTTCCTTTCTAAAAATACCTCTCGTCAGCTTCATGACTTAAGAGACTGTTAATTCAAAGGTAAACTTATGAAGCTGATCAACCATAGTAGGATGTCAATCAGCTAAACAGCAACCTGCTTGTCAGAGGTTCATGCCACTGAACCGTCACTGCTTCCCTCTAATCAAAGAGAAAGAAAACTAGGAAAATAAGTCTAAGGTCCCACTTCTCTTTCGGCAACTAAGATCTTACAGAAAATCAATGCTGCAGCAGGAATTGAAGTAAACAACTATACTGGTGCTGAAGTAAAAATCATACATGAGAAATAATGTAACAGAAATCACAAGTGAAGAAAACACCCGAGACAAGTGAGGGAAGCGCAGTGTGTCCATGCTCCAACACACTCAGGAAGAGGAAAAACCTGCAGACAAAGTAGACCCATAACTGGAAGGAGCATTTTTGGATTTTTGTGATGGCATGGGACAGTGGCACAGAATGAAAACTATCTTTTAATTTAGAGTCAATTGCAATAAGAACTGTATCTTCCAAAATGAGAAATACAGTAAATATTTAAAAGGTTATTTTGCCTGAAAGTATTTAAAGATTTTTTTTTCTGCAGAAGGATGAAAATGAAAAATTCACAAACAGATCTGGATCATGTGCCAGCCTGTTAACATTCCTACTGCAGCCAAATGGAAGTAACTCATTGCTTATATATGCCAGACCAAACAGCTGGTCTCCCCTAGGAAGTGGGTTAGCAAGAGGCTTGCAATCCATAGCTCACTGAAGAAAAGCTCTCCTTCTCCTTCGAGCCTCCTACTTTTTGTATCCTGTTAAAATAGCCATCAGAGGGGAGGACATACAGATGGGGTGCAGCCCAGCGCCAGATGGTGGGGAGTGAGGAAGACAAGATTCTATCTACCAGCACTAAAAATGAATGGCCTCTGGACAGCTTGGGGCACCAAAACAGGAAGTTGCTTCTGCCATCCAAGATTCATCTTCCCACATCAGGTTGTGGAGGATGGATGTTCTGACTCCTACAGCATTCAAGACAGAAGCACTTTTAATTTTTCACAAAACAACTGGGATGGATAGTCCATGCCTTGAGTCAGCTCCCGTTCTTGAGAAGAGTGTTTTGCTATCTAATTAGAAACTCTAAACAGGAACTTTCTGGTCCTGGGTTCCAGCCAAACAGGGTTTATCATGAGCCAGGAGGAGCACATCTTGCTTTGACTTCAACCATATCAAGGAATTTTACTGTTACCCTAAACCCTGGCTTTTCAGGTGACCACTCATTCAGTGATCCTCATTCAAGGCATGCTTCCCCCATGTAGCTAATTGTCTAAAGGAGAAATGGATAAGTAAGCTCAAATAGACATTCTCATCTCAAACACTTCAATTCTTAGAGGATAGTCTACCAGTCTATTGTTCTTGGTCTTCTATCAGTAAATATGCCCAAACCCCTCCCCTCTGAAATCATTTAAATAGGATGCAAACCAGAAATCTTCATACACAAAGACAATCTCCAGATTCTCTTACTCTACTTCCTTCTCATGGATGTGATCAAGAGGGAAGAAAATGTGTTCAAGGTAATACATGAATATGACCCATCAAAAGGGACATGATAAATGTGAATATGGGATTTATTAAGGGAAAGGCAAGGAAAGTGGGGGAATTAAGTCATACTGCCCACAACTGCCAGGGAACTCATTTCCAACACTCTGATTAGGCTCAAACTGAAAGGTAACTCTAGAGCCATGCGTCCCAACTTTATGAACAGAAAACTCAGAACTGACAGCAACCACACGCTTAGTGAGAGGTACTTCCACTTCCAGGACAATGCTTTCAAAACTCAAGAAGCTGATTCCTGTGCATTTTCACTGCTCACTTCCAGCCTCGTTCCATACACAGAATTCTCTACTACATTGAAAGGTAAACTTGTCACATTTACCTTGCAACCCATACCCTTGTAAGATAGCTCAGTCTACATTTATCCAAGTCATGATGGGGTATTACATGGATAGCCAATGCTAAGAGTGATCAGTGATACTCATAGTTACTGTGTAAACTTGTCTGTAGCCCTTTTCACTTGAATCTTAGTCAACTAAGCCACTGGTTTTCAGATGGGGGAGGGTGTGCTATAGCTCATATTACATCAGAGGTCACATTCCCAGTGGGAGTAAGTGGTCTGTTCTATCTGATTGGACGAACTTCATTCTCAAATACAACAATGCAGAAAAAATGCTAGTTGTATAATAGGTTTTTCCCCCAATTATATCCTAGATAAAAGCAAGGCAGATGGCCTATGGAGCTTAATAAAAATACAGGGCTATTCCCCACATAGGGCATTGTTTTACTGATACCCTTAGTATTGTCTTTCTAGATCAGATTGTAGATTAAGGTTTTTTTCACCCTGAGTAAAAACTATGACCATCCATTTTTATAAAAACCAGAAGCTATGCTACCAAGCTCCTTGAGAATAATCTTAATTATCAACCTTCAAATTTCGGGGAATTTTTATTTTATTAACTTGTTTGCATTGCTGGTGTGATGGATGCTCAGACCTTTCAGATTTCAAATTTATTGGTAATCAGTTTGTCATAGCTCCTTTAGTTTTTTTGTCATCTGCAGACAGTTGCTGGTCTCACAGAGTTGGCTTGAGGTTGTTTATAGTGTTATGTCAGTTTGCATATTTGACCAAGAACAATCACAAGCACACCCATCAATAACCAGATAGTTTAAACACTTGACACTTCGAAGAAAACAGGCCTAGGGTACACCCCTGATGATATCAGTGGACTGGAGCAGGGTTTTTAAAACTTCAAGGAAAAGGCTAATGGCTTCATGACATAGCTAACCCAATACTAGGAGGAAGAATTAAAGACCCAATGGACCAATCAGGGAGATTTCATCATAGTTATTCATTTAGCATTTTGTTTTTCTATTTTCTGAAAAGATTTCACCAAAACCCCTAACAGTGTAGTACATAGTGCTTATGTGAACCAAGGAGAAACACTTAAAAATGATGCCTCAGACTCACTCACTACCGCCCTACCTATGTCCATCCTTACCCACATTCATAAGTTCACACCACATACTTTTTTTTTTTACCTGTCTATATTCAATAATAAACTGTCTTCCCTTTAACCAGGATATATGATTGGGGAAAATCTATTATGCAATCAGCATCTTGCCTACAATGTTGTTTCTGAAAATGGAGCTCAGGGGAATCAGGACAGGCCATTAACATCTACTGGGAGACTACCTTCCAACCAGGACTGCATTGCAGCCTCATGAGAAAAAGCTCTGCCAGCTCATCCACCTCCTCTAACCTTCCTGAGAATCAGCAACAGTCTGGGAATTACATGTGCCATTGGAACCTTATCACAAGTGATGTCTGCATTGTTTCTTTGAGGCCACACTAGAGAACAGCAAGAAGGAAGGCACTCTGAGGGGGAGTGGCTTGGCCACCTGGAGGTATCACAGGTGACTCTGGAAAAAAATCTCAGATTAGATGCTCCACCCCCCCATCCCCTCTCATCTCCCCAACCCCCAACCCAGGATCAGTCAGTTCAGAAGCTATATCCCCAGTGCAACCTCCTTCATAGAGTGATGCTGCTGTGGATTTAGACTCTCTAGCCCATCAGAAATGATGGTTATTTCACATGACTGCATCTCTCCACAAGGAAAGTCTAAGCTTAATTATCTCTCAGCTTCATAATGCAATAGGTATTTACACCTGGATGAAAAATGAAAGAACTAACCAAGAGTTCAGAATGCCAACAGTCTAAAACTGCAAAGTCTGTTCCAACCAGAAGATCACCTGGTGTTAGTTTGCAAATTAGACCCAACCCTGGTAAAATCTGATTTACCTAGCACACTATGAGCCTCCTGAATTATTTTCAGGTAACTAAGTGTTAGCAAACAATCAAATCTATCTAACAGGAACAGCCAGGTTCCAAAGGTTATGATTGGTGTATCACAAATGTAACTTTGGAGTCAGAAAGTGACTTCCTAGTATGATTATGATAGAAGATGTTAAATAAATGTGACCTAAGAACAAAAATTATTAAGGACCTTTTGATTAAACAATTATTTTCTTTATTTCCAGAGAACTAGATAAAAATTAAGCTTTTAAAATATCAGTCTGGCACACATCTGTCACTCAGCACTCAGGGGGCTGAGACAAAAAGCTAGCGAGTTTGAGGCCAGCCTGGGCTACATAGAAAAGCCCTGTCTCATATATATATATATGCATTTACATGCATATGGACTTATTAGCAAAGTACTAGGAAAGATGCTTTATTCACTCATCATCTGTTTTAATATTTATTGACCTCAGAAAACCAAATGCTACATACCAATACAACACAACAAACATAGATGCAATAGCTGTGCATCCAAAGCCACTCCACTTTAGCCTAAGGTTTGACATCAAATTAAGCCTCCTAGTCGTGATGAGGGGACTTCCCAAGTCTGCACAAAGGCTATATCTATATCATTCTGTGTGAATGCCAAACCCTTTAAGAAAACAGGGCAACTGTCAATCAAAATCTCGTGTTCAAAAATACCATTTTGGAGGTGGAAGGGGACATCAGGGGAGGGGAGCTCAGTTAGTAGGATGCTTGTGCATACATCAAGTCCTGGGTTTTACCCCCAGCATCACACAAACCACATATCTGTAATCCCTGCACTCATGGCAGAGGCAGGCTATCAGCAGATTAGTGTCAGCTACACATGACATTCAAGTCCGGCCTATGGGAGACCCTACCTTAGAAAGAAAAGAAGAGGGGGAGGGGCAAGGGAAAAGATGAGAGGGGGAAGAATGGAGAGAGGAAAATATGCCAGTTTGAAAGAGCACCAAAATATTAGCCTTCTCAGAGCACCCAGGGCCTAAAGAAAGTGTCTCCATATCTCAGGCTACATATTCGCTGATATTTCAGCAATAAGCTCACGCTGCTGGCTGTGCCCTTGAACCAGGGAGACCTCTCCATGGCCGAGGTCTGATAGTGGGGTTTTACCTGGCTTTCTCCATGGTTCCGGCCACTCTCGGCTCTGAGGATGGACTTGGGTTTCCGGGACTTGAAGTTACCCATACTGGGTCTCAGCACTCCATCCACCAGCAGGGTCTGTTCTGCATGCTGCTGGGCCTCGTGGGAGGGCGGAGCAAGCTCGTCTATTAGAGCCCCCAGCTGTGGGTAGTTCTCTTTATTGTTTTCATCTCTGCAAGAAGAAAGACCCAATTAACAACATATCCAAAACAGATAAAAACCTGTAATAAAAAGAACTGACGAGATTCGCCACACTGTATTCAAAGGGAACCCAGTCATAGGCAATTTTTAAGGCCTAAGAACTCAAGAAGCCTTACAGACTACAGCCAGGATTTCTGCTTCTTAGAATCCCCCATGACAGTGCCCTTTACCAGCAGGAAGTAGTTTGGAAAGAACGATGCCCAAATTCCCAAATATTGTCTATAAATGTTTGTTTTCATTTAAATGGACGTGGTTATATAAAATAAATAAAAATAAATAAATAAATAAAAAGAACTCAAGAAATGTGAATGTCATTCTTGTTTTTCTTTCTTTTTAATTTTTTTAGTCAGAGTCTCACGTATCCCAGACTGGCCTTGAACTTTGTATTATCCAAAGATGACCATGAGCTTTGAATCCTGCCTTCCCTCCTGCACCCACCATGTGCTAGAATTACATACATGTACTACCATGCCTGATTTATACACTACCAGGTATTGAACGCAGGGCTTCAGGCCAAATGACTTCAGCTCCATGAATTTCACTATTCCTATCACTCTCCCTTCCCGTGCATCCAAGTCTTCACTTGGAGACACTTTGCTGCTTTCTTTGTGAACCCTACTTACTTCCCTCCCATGATAATAATGTGAGACCTTTAGGTTAGGTACGTGAGGTCCCAAGTACAGATTAAGATTCGAAAATGCTGTGGTTAAACAGCATACCTAGCAGACAGGCCAACTTAAACTCCCAGAATGGTCCAACAGATCTCAGTCTCTCAGGCTGAAATCTTGTCACTTCCTTCCTATCCATCGGCTAAGATAGTTTGCAACATGGATCTGTTTGGAAGTGAAGCCAATCATCCAGATAAGTTTTAAGACAAGTGATACATTTCCCCCTAACCAGGCCTTTGAGCAATGCTTCAAATGCATAGAACAAGATCCCAATGTGTGTTCCCTTGGAGCTGAGTGACTTTGTGACTCAGGCCTGCCATCCCAGCTACTTTAGAAGCTGAAGCAGGAAGATCAAACCTGAAGTCTATCCTGGGGCAACTTGGTGAGTTCTGTTGCAAGACAAAAATTAAAAGAAAGGAAGAGGAGGCTAGGGATGTGGCTTAGTGGCAGGGTAAAAGCCTTGCATATTCAAGGTCTTAGATTCAATTCCCAGTCTCACATTCACACACCCTGCTCAATTCTGGAACTAAGCAATTGTAGCCATAACGAAATGAGGGTATGAATTAGGCTCTTTGCCTTAGACTCTAAGGCTTAGATGATCAATAATGCCAACCTTACTCTCTGGCAATTCACTCTAAGCAGCTACTTCCTGGGTGTGTTTGTCACATGCACCTAAGAAAGGCGAATGGAATAGGAAGCAGCAATCCCCTGCTGCTCAGACACAGAAAGCCAGAGAGGGGAAGTTCAGGGAGGGAAGCAGCCCCTCTCCCCCAACCCACCTCTCAACACCCCCTTCCACAGGTGACTACCTAGGGTGTGGGGTTGGAAGCCACACCAGGATTGGTGGTCTGCAGCATGGGCCAGATTCAGAGAGCACAGGGCATGAATAAATGTACTTAAAGCAGTTGAGTCTCAGGTGAAACACCCAACAAGTGGATTAGCAGCTGGGGGAAAAGAAAAGACTGTGCTGGTGATCCAATTGTTAACAGTTAAACTTTTTCCTTGTCACTAGGCTTTAGGCAAGAGGGTCAAGCTAGGGCTGGGAACTCAACCCATTCTAGTGAACTGTACTGCTTGTAGTGAGAAGTTGAGTGTTATGCATCTACTCAAGCTCCTGCCACCGAAAGGCGACAGCAGCATCCTTTACAGGAACGTTTGTTTCTCATTCAGGTATGAATCCAGAATGTCCATAATGACATCCAAGACATTCAATAACATGTTTGGTGAATAATGATGGGTACACTGTCAAGTTTAATGGAGAAGTTCCCTATACAAGGCTGCGTTTGGGGATCTAAAAGCTCACACCCCAAATCTTGGCTCAGAAGATGCAAACCTCAGAGAAAAGACTTCTGGCTGGAGAGATGGCTCAGCGGTTAAGAGCACTGACTACTCTTCCAGAGGACCCAAGTTCAATTCCCAGCACCCACATGGCAGCTCACAACTGTTTGTAACTCCAAAGATCTGACACCGTCATAGACATACGTGCAGGCAAAACATGGAAGCTACAAAATAAAAATAAGTAAATTATTTCAAAAATGTTTGGATTCAGAAAACAGACATCAGACCCAGAGGATCTCTTTTTCTCACAAATCAGAACCAAGGGTGGGTCCTACCTGAGCCCAGAGCAGTTGTCCTCGTCTTCATGTAAAGAGACTGGGTCTTCCTCACACCTGAGGTGAGAAGGACAACAGCATGTCATATATAAATGTCTACTGCAGTAGCCACAGCAATTATCTAGAATTGTGTCAAGATTAGCATGGAAAATCATACAACACAGTGATCCCTCACCATTGACTCCCCAGAAAAAAACAGAACCACAAACACCCTGCTCCAATGTCTGCCAGGTCTTGATACAATACCAACATGCTCAACAAACCCTGTAAAGCTGAAAACGTTGACCCATCTGTCAGTTTTCACCTCCACAGCATTGCATACGTCACCTAAGTCAGTGGTTCTCAGCCTTCCTGATGCTACAACCCTTTGTTCCTCATGTTGTGATGACCCCCAACCAGAAGATTATTTTTATCGTCACTTTATAACTGTCATTTTGCTACTGTTATGAATCATGGTGTAAATATCTGATATGCAGCCCCTGTGACAGGATCCTTGAGAACCACTGGTTTAAGCTAATAAGATCTCACTTACACCAAGGTGTTCCCAGCAGGACGTCAGGCACCAAGAGGAGTGCTCTGAAATAAGGTCCCACAATTCTTTACATCGGGCACTCTCTCCTCTACTCCACACCACAACAGCAACCAACTGTCCTCGAACTTTTTCTTTTTCTCCAGACTTCCTAATTAACCTGATGAAAACGTCTCGGCTCTTTCATATTAAAAGTCACTGGTATTTCTGAGGGAACCTAGAGTAAGAGTGTTCCTGTCCATAAGTAAGAGGGTGTCTTTGTTCCTCTTTGAAGCCATTCATCCTGCCTTGCCCAGCCCCACCCTGGAACATTTTTCCATCTTCCCTGTCCATCCTCCCTGCACTGCACAAAGCCAGGAGGTACCAGCTCTGAACAGGAGCCTTCCAGCCAGATTCACACACACACCACTGTAACTATGCTCATCTTATTCTATAAATGTTCACTCTTCATCCTTAGGTCTTGGTATCTTGTATGTCAGAGATCTAGTGAACTGGTCTCTTATTGCACTAAACAGCTGTAGACACACCTATACCTATAAAAACATATACAGTTCTTTTTCTAGGGATACCATCACTGCTCCCAAGGGCAGCATTGCCTCCAATGGATGCCCAAAGAATCCTTGATTTAAGAATGCTCCCTCGGAGGGGTAACTGAGCAGTTTAAACAACTGAACTGATGGCTATTAATAAGCATCTACTGCCTCCCGGGTGCTCAGTTCACCTTCTGTGATGATTAACAGTGATTGTCAACTTGATGGAAGTTTCTAGAGTATGTTAATTGATGTGGAAAGATCCAGCCTCTTTGTGGGCAGTGACATTCCAGGGGCTAGAGGCCTAGAGGGAGAGAAAGTGAGCTGAGTAATCAGCATCCATTTCTTCCTGCTTCCAGACAAGATGCAATGTGCCAGCCTCCTCAAGCTCCTGTCTGGTGCCTTGCCCACCACAATAGACCATCCCCTCAGACTGTGAGCCAAAATAAACCCTTTGTTAAGTTGGTTTTGGGTCAAGTTGTCACATCAAAGCAGTGAGAAGTTGAACTAATATGTCTTAAATTTTCTAGAGATAAGGACTGACCGTTTTGTTTTATTTAATGTTTAATCCACTGAGGTAAATATGTGATAGCAATGTCAAATTCCTATTGAAGTTATTAAGTGCTGACTCCCTTCTTCCCTCAATTCAGACATGTTAGATATATTTGTATTCAAAGTAGCATTATTTTTAAAAAATACAAGATTTTCAAAAGATTTGGATTCTGTTCTGAGAGATTCAGTGTTGTGAGTGGGTGAAAAGAAAACAAATAAATACTTATGCGCAAATATAATACAGTGCTCATGCTACATTAAATAACATATTTAAATATTCATCACTGGAAATGCTGTATAATTAGCCCACAAATTAACTGAAGAAAGCTCCCGTTCTCTTCTCTCATAGCCTTTTTGTAAATTATGACTTTTGTAGTGAATTATAAAAGGGCCACCTACAGACTTGAACCCTCTTTATCTAACATAATCTGTTCCCTGTTGCAATAAAATAAAGTTGGTCAAATTAACAAAATGCTGATTTTAGTTGAATAATCAAAACTTCTTTGCTCTCTTACATTTTTGGCTACCAATAACACCACTTTGTGTATCTCATGAAAAAATAGCAATTAAGTTCCCAAGTTTTACATTCTGCCTCATTGTCAGTACTCAAACCTAGTTCTTGTAGGCTTTACAATGTGAATGACAATGTTTTCCAAGAGTAAAATAGAAAAAGTCACACATTATAGAAATCTAGAATTCTCACTTCTAAGACGAAGGGTTTAACCCACAGTCTCAGCCCCAAGTTTAGCTACTCTACCTGAGGACTTGGCAGTAATGTGTTTCCCCTCTGGAAATCATTGCTTTCTCTCTAAGCATCATGGTCTGAGAATGGAAATGCAGCACCAGAACCTTCAAAGGGACAAGTGCCTTCTGGGCCATAAGGCTGGAACAATTAGTAGATCAGAAATATCCCCTAAACAACTGCCAATTGCTATGTAGGTCCAGCCCTGGAAATCAACGTCCTCAGAGTTCATCCCTGCTCTTTGAATGAGATAGATCTCTGTTACGTTACTCCACTCAACCAACATCTCATATTTAACCTTGCCCAGGAGAGCCTACAAAGGGAAATTACTGGCCTAGTTATGAAACTGGATTCTGCCACAGGAAGCCACAGTCATAGCTCCCCACTTCCGGAAGACCATCAACTCAGACTAATGGGCCAACTCACCCAGGCAAGGTGTCCTCTTAAAATACTGTTGTACCACACAGGAGTCTAAAGGCCAATCCTTTTCATGGTCTCTCTCTTAGGTCCTCAAAACTTAAAAATATTACATTAATCAAGGCAACCTAGGCTCAGAAAAACAAATACTATGTAGATCCTGACTTCTGATGTTTATATGTGTATATTAGAGTAGAACTAGAAAAGGTCCACAAGAGGAAAAAGAACAAAACACATGATATAAGCATGCAAAGAGGGGTAGAGAGAGATGAGGGGAGGAATGGAGGAGGATCATTGGCTAAAACTAAGGATGTATGAAAACACTACAAGCAAACCTGTTACTTTAGACACTAACTTAAAAAAATCAACTCAAAAAAAGAGAAACAGTCCATCATGATGGTATATTCAGAAACATGTATAGCATGTAAATATTTGTAACAAGTATGAATTCAATGACAGGAAATGTCAAGTCTTACAATAATATAGAATGTCCTGAAGCTCTTTGGATGGTACACTGTCATAGTGGATGACCTCCACAAAGTGGCTAGCCACCAACATTTTATGGCCAGTATGATTAGGCAGAAAAGAGAAAATGTCTGCCCAGACAGTGTTAACAACTGCTTCCTGAAAGTCACTGAAATCACATGTCTGTGTGTGACTGAAATGTGAGGGAGAATGTTTTCCTTATGGTTGGCCATGGTGAGAAGGAAAAACTGTTAAAGATGCTTCTAGCAAGTGATTTCTTGGTAGTGCTCCTCGGCCAGCTATCAGAGAGCTTCACTTGAGATTGCTCAGATACCTCAGCAACAACTCCAACTTGTGTCCCTCCTCCTTCCTTCACTTTTGCTCGGTCCGCCAAGCACAAACAAAAGAAAGGAGTGCACAGTTCCCAGCCCACATGACCATCTGCACCTTCTCAGGCCAGCCTGGCAGCTAGGAAAAAATACAGTCCCAGGAGGCCATGCAATTGCCAGGATTCCAAGGCTTTACTCTAGGGAACCTTGCTTGTTCCCGCCTACACTGCCAAGTCCACAGACAGAAGTCACATGACATTGTCAGTCTCTATTCCTAGAGGCTCAAGAGACAGGAGAGCTAGACCTCTTGGAATAATGGAGGCGCAAGACATGTCCTTGAGACATTATCTCCTCTGGTTAAATAGGAAGAGAGGCCCCCAACTTGGCTGGGTGGCAGAGAGAAATGGTTTCTCCTCCCCCCTGCAGCACCACACCCCTGAAGGCAACATTGCAAAGATGCAACCTCTTGGGGAATTTCCCAAAGTGTGGCCCCAGAATCTCCTGCAACAGTGCTCTCTGGAATACCTGTTTGAGAGAGCAGACTCCAGCCTGGCCCTGCCTCAGCCCCATACAGCTCTGACTGTAGTATGTAAACCTCTGGGAAGAGTTGCTTACTGAATTTTGTTTTTTGAGCTGTCTCTTGTAATCCAGCCTGGCATCAAACTTTCTATGTAGCCAAAGATGACCTTGAACTTCGGATCCTCCTGCCTCTAACCACCAAGCGCTGGAGGTTACAGCTATTCACCACAACCACCACCACCCAGTTTTATTTGATGCATGTGGCTTCATGCATGCCAAGCCACACCCCCAGCACTATAATGTAAACTTTTATTTTTTTTTATGTTTTATTTTATGTGCTGTAGTCATTTGAATAAGCTAATAGGGAGTGGCAATACCAGGAGGTGTGGCTTTGGAGTAGATGTGGCCTTGTTGTAGGAAGTATGTTACTGTGGAGGCGGCTTTGAGGCCTCATATATGTTCAAGGCATGCCCAGTGTCTCAGTTCATTTCCTGTTACCTGTGGATCAAAATGTAGGACTCTCAGTTCTTTCTCTAGCACCATGTCTGCCTGCACATCATTGTGTCCCACCATGATGATAATGGACTGAAACTCTGAAACTATAAGCCACTCCATTAAATGTTTTCCTTTATAAGAGTTACTGTGGTCATGGTATCTCTTCATAATAATAGAAACCCTAACTAAGACATGTGCATTGGGGTTTTGCCTGAATATATGTTTGTGTGGGTGTCAGAGTCCTTGGAACTGGAGTTACAGACAGTTGTGAGCTGTCGTATGGGTACTGGGAATTGAACCTGAGTCTTCTGGAAGAGCACACAGTGCTCTTAACTACTGAACCATCTCCCTGGTCCCTTGTGATGTAAACTTTTAAACAGCACTGACCAGCCACTTATCTAATCTACTGTGCTTCTAAACTGTTTTCATCTAACAGTTTCTAAAACCCAAGCTAGCTCTGACCTGACTCCAACCCAAATACCCATCTTAGGTCCTGTCTAAGCCTGGAATCTATTTTTCACAAGAGCCAACCCCCTTCCCAGGTAGACACAATCAGTTCATTTTGTAAACCAATGCCTAGAGGCTACTAGGCAGAACTCTTGCAAGTGAAGCATCAATCTAAATACTGTGACCCAGTAAGAGACTTTGAAAACAAAACATCTTGAAAAGACACTGCAGATGTGGCCACAAGGCTAAGGCTACTCAGATGTGTGTGTGCCCCGGAGGGTGTGAGGGGTATATATAAAAAATGAGTTAAATTCACCTAGATTGATCTACAGGCATTTCAAGACCTGAGAAATATCAAGAAAAGATAGTTCCAATTCCACTTTCCTTTCACTCTCCCAAGACCTCCAGCTGGTGAGACATGAGTGTGGTCAACTGGATCTTGTCTTAGGCTCACGTGTGAAGACCTGAGTTTGAATCCCCAACAACCACTTTAAAGTCCATTAGAGTGGTGGTGTATATAAAGCCCTAGAATTGGGATGAATGGAGACAGAAGGCTCCCCATCCAAGTTCTCCAAGTTCAGTGAGAGATGAGGCTGAATGAGATAAAAGGAAATACAGGATGTTAACCTCTGGCCTCCACAGGCACACACACACACACACACACACACACACACACACACACACACACAACTGGCCAACTAGCATCCTTTCAGATTAGACTATCTGATAAAATAATTCATAGCAAACACTAATGACTACTTGGACCCACCTTCTAGGATAGAGAGTTTTTAATTTCCATTTTAATAAGAATCAAAACCAGAGGCCTTAGCCCTAAGGAAAGCCTCTCCAGGTGGAATTTCAGTGGTGAGGAGCAGGAGGTAAAGGAGATGGTGGGGACTGGAGGTAGAGGACATTAGTTCATCTCAGAAGCATCAAAGAGGGAAGGGCATCCTCAGAACAGACCAATATCTCAACCAAAGACTTGCAGGGCACCTGCTATGTCTGTGTATTGGGAGAGCACCCTCTGATCCTGCTGGATAAAAGATTGTGCCCACATGTGCAAGAACAGGTTCATATTATTGAGGGTAAAATAAAAAAAATAACAATGTTCAGTTTGACAACCACTGGTTTAAGATGGCCATGGTCCGTGCTGTGTCACACCTGTGACACACACAGTATGTTGTCAGTTCCTTCGATTCTTATATTAGCCAGATGGCTTCCTCACCACTCACCACTCACAGCCTTTTAAAAGGGAACCACTGCCACATCTCTAAAAGTAACAACATGATCTTATGCAATCAGAACTTCTTTGGGGAGTATCCAAGGATGAGACATGACAGTCTCCCCAGCATTTAACCACAACACATACCCCACACACAATCCATATGAAATCTGAAACTAAATGTCTCCATCTTGAAGTGCCTGGGCCTGTGACTGTGGCTGACTCTAGGGATCCAGCCACATATGACACCCAAGAACCAAGCCCAGAAAACACATGCTGCCAGGAAGCCCAGCAGAGGCAAGGAGAAGTAGGTACCTAACTGCCTGAACCAAGGAACTCAGGCCCCATCCTTGGTCCACAGATCTCTCCTCTCCTCTCAGCCGGCAGAACAATGCCACTGCCATGACCAGGGTCCCAGTGAGCAGGCCATAGTACATCTTACAAAGTCATCCTGGTCTCCTTGTAAAGAGCCCCAGTTCGGTGAGCTCAAAGTGGGACACTATGGCAATAGCAAGCCAAACTGAGCAGCAAAGGCATGTGGGAAAGAGGACCCTAGGAAGCGCATTGGAACCCAGCCTTCCCTCTCTAAGTTCCTGCAATGATGGTGGAATTTAAAACCTAAGGGATGCTCTATTCACTGTCCACGTACCTTTGTGAAATAGCTCCCAAGTCAACTTGTGGCTTCTGTATGGAAGTTGGGACTTTTTAAAAGTAGAGGAATACACAACTTTGCCCACACCCCCCTGCAAAGCTTTTCCAGTGTGACTTTTACCAAAATTCAAATTTCCCTATCATAAGACATATAGATGGAAAACATATAGTTCATACACCCTGCTATATGTATCACATATAATGACAACAAAATGTATATACAAGAAAATATTAAGGAAGGGATGACCAGAATAAAAATGAAGTTCTGTAAATATCAAAAAAAAAAAAAAAAAAAAAAAAAAAAACTCTATGTGGGCTGGCCTTGAGTAAAACACTACTCCCCTCTCTCCACTTTGAAGTATTGTTAGTTGCCCTGTGCATCAGGTAAGGCATTTCCCTATAGTCACATTATTGAGGTCAGATGAGAAAAAAAAAAAAAAAAGACAAAAGGCGTCTACAAAAGTTTACCGCACAGTGTCTTAAAAATCTGTCCACACAGAGAGGGACGATAAGTTTACCCCGTTTAAACGTTCTGGAATTAAACTCCAGTCGTCTCACATCCATCTATTTGGGACCAATGTACACAGCATACACTCCATGAAAACTGACACTCATGTTGGCAAAATACAACCAAGCGTCCTTTCTGACATGTCACATTTTTTTTTTTTTTTTTTTTTTTTTTTTTTAAGCTAAGCTCCAGGATTGCACATCTTGGAGCACAGAGCCTCCCTCAGTAATCTGCTGGGTCTAATCCCCCACCCCCTCCCCACCCTGCAGCTGCTAAAATACTGACAGCAACCTGTGAGAGGTGTGTGGGCCCCACCAGCCTCGCAGCCCCAGGTTCCAGGAGACAATGCATCATCTGGGAAGAGGGGCTGGGGATGATGGGCACCTTCACCACAGTTGCTTCAGAGACAGACGTGCAAGTCGATTGTATGGCAAGAATCACTTACTCAGCTACAGCAGCGTTGCCGAAGGAATTATCCTGAAGGCTGAAACAGAAACAAGAAAACATGAGCCAAGTCCGGCCGGGGAGTCGTCTCCCTAATTGCTCTCCCCGAGTTAGAGCAAGCACACAAACATGGCATTGCCAGGCAAGTCTCAGGGCTTGACCGGCAAGCTCGCTCTACCTTGGGCTGCTGTCTGCACATGCTCCTGACGACACCCCAGCAGGGGCCCAGAGGCACTGGCGAACCACAAAGCCCAGCAGCCAGCGAGGCTGCGGGGACGATGGGGCGGGGCACAGCAGCAGCGTGCTACCCGGGATTGCAGCTGTAGGCTCCTGGAAACCCCAGTAGACAGCTAGGAGCTGCCTGGAGTCCAAGCTGTTTGAGCCTGCCACCTCAACCCGGGCTGGCAATATGGATATCCCCCCAATAGATGCAATGCCCGCCTCCCATGGCTAGTTACCTTCCCAGCCCCCACCCCACCCAGAGGATGCAAACACGCAAAAATGCCTTGCAGAAAAAGCAAGGAGAGATCGAGAAAAGGAGAGGGAAATGGCTGCTGGGTTTTGTCTTATTTTCATTGTGTGTTGGTTTTTATGGCCTAGAACAAAAGAGGCTCCAAAGGGCTGGCTGCATCCCGACAGGTCCATCTGCGGGTCTTGTTATTTCATTCCTCTGGAGGAAGTGCCCTGCTCAGGACCACACAGCTGTGAATGAGTCTACACTGGGCGAGTGTAAGTTCATTCCAGGCCTTAGCTGGTGCCTAGGACACCGTGCAAGGGGGAGAGGGGGCGGGCGGGGGCAGACTCAAACCCACAACATCTCCACACCTTCACAAAGGATGGAGCGATGAATACAAATGCAGTTCCCTTGGATGGAGGCTGCTCTGTTGGCGGAAGGGAAACCGGGCAACCCCACCCCCATCCCACTTTATTCTTGCTTGGAGGAATGTTTGTCCTGCCCTCTTCACAATGTTCATGACTCCTGCCATGTTGACCTTGACTTGAAATAAACAGACATCTGTGAAAGACAGGTCTCTGAATTTTGAAATAAGCTTTCACTGCCAGGAGCAGCTGACTCTGTAACCGAACCGATGACTTAGTTCGCAACAACTGACTTCACTAAAAAGAAAATTACAATAAATTTTAAGATGCCTCAAAAATTTTGAAACAAGAAAAAAGAGCCTTTCAGTGTCACACTGAGTCAAAGTTTAAAGACCCTGGGAGACCGACTAGTGTGAACTCTGCTGTGCATAGAGCCTAGCCACAGTCGCAATGCCTGTTAACATGCAACTATCCAGTTGCAAATATAACCTACTTGACTGTCATTTTACTGCACTGAAAGACATGAACAAATTGTCCATCTAACCAAAAGAAACGTCTTTTTAAATGCCTATAAATAATCTTCAGTGCCTGAAAATGGTCCTAGAAGCAGCTTCACCCTCACACAGTTTTCCTCATTAATCTCCAATGTGTATGCACTTTTTAAAAAGTCTGGTCTTTTAACTGTTTGTACTTAGGTGATAAAAAAAATTAAGTTTTCAGCTGAGCAGTGTTTGCACACACCTTTAATCCCAGCACTTGGAGGATAGGGGCAGGCAGATCTCTGTGAGTTCAAGGCCAACCTGGACTACAGAGCCAGTTCCAGGACAACCAAGGCTATTACCCAGAGACTCTGTCTTCAAAAACAAAACAAAATTAAGTTTTTTCCTTGCAATTTTACTCTCTGTTCTGCAAATATTTTTAGATCAGCCAAATAAAAGCTTAAAGTGGCCTTAGATTTTACTCCTGCAGGTTAAACAGATTCTCAAGTGTTGATTCCTTGCATGTTGAACTATATTACACACATGTTCTTAATCATACAGCCCCATGGAACTAGATTCTAGATGGTAGGCACTTCAACCTGTTAGTGGGAATGTGGAGTCTAACCACAGCATATCTTTCTGTTCACACATCTGAAAACAGTCAATTTCCCAAAGGCTCTTTAACTTGGAGGCTAAGGTGCCAATTCTGAGTGGTCCAGCATAGAGAAAGACCAGACATTTTGTGCATAAGCAACTCCAGTGATCCATCTGGGGTAGAAAGGAACTATGCTTTAACTGAGAGATGGGACTTAATTTCAAAATGCTGTGGACTCACTGAAAATAAAATGAGATAACAAATGTACTCCATAAATCCAGATATTCAGCAATGCCCAATGGGAGGGACAAATGAGTTCTCTGCAACTCGTGAGCAGAAAGGACTCAGAATAGCTTTTAAGAACTGTTCATAGAGAATGGCAACTGGTTGGCACGGTATATTATGGCTACAGCCCCAGAATAAAAGCCTGCCATTTAGCAGTATGCAAGAAGGTACTTCAGTTTTCAATACTCATCCTAGTCTGAAGTTGTTCTCATCTTAGATCTGATATTTGGTTTTGTAAGTGGTTTTTCAAGTGCCATTTTAAATGAGATGTCCTATTCACCTTGCAAAGCACAATACTGATGGATAGCACAAAAGGTTGCTTTGGAGGCCTTTGGCTTATCTGAACAACAGTTCAGGGAAAGTTCAAAGGGAGAAGAGAAAAATCATCACTGGGATCTCTCAGGAAGCCCGAGTATTTCCCACAACAGAGACAGGGTCAAGACTTCCCTGTGGTTTTATGTAACATTGGTCAAAACATGTTCTTGAAAGGAGAGAGAGATGACAAATTCAAGGACAGTGCATAAAACTATGTTTTTGGCTTTGAAACGGGACATAGGTAGGCAAAGTGACATGGAACCCCTGAAAATAAGAGGAAACAGCAAATGTACACAGTTGATGTGTTTTTCAAATTCATTAAAGACCAATGAAATAGGTGAAACATACCAATTAACATTATACCTACTAAGGGGTTCTGAGATAACACTTCCTGACTTTGTTTAGTGAACTAGTGAATGATGAACAAATGGTATACATACTTAACACTGTGTCGCCTGCAGTCCCTGTTAATCTGAAGCCTTTGGTATAAATAATGCCTATGTGTATATAATGGATAGGACTCACAATGTACAATAGGGTAAGTGGGGGGGGGGACACAAAAAGGCTGGATTTGAATACAGTTAACTCATCTTCATGCTAAAAGTTCAGTTCTCTATGTTTTCTAAAGGTGGACACATGGATTTCAGACTTAGTACCAATAGTTTTGTAATTATGGTGTTTTCATTCCAATATACTGACTTAGCAATATACTGACAGAGCAACCATGCAGTGCAAAGAAAGCAACCTACAAGTTCAAGACGAACCACTTACCTGTAGTTTAATATTTAAAAAAAAATTCTACCTTATGACTCACTTTCTTCGTTCTTGGATAGAGATATAATCTGTCTCAAGGGTTCTTTCAAAAACTAAATAAAAACATTAAGCAGTTAATAAACGCTAGTTTTATACTTGTTCTCACTATTGTTATAAGCAATGTGTAAACAAAGTTTGGAAGAGAAACAAAATGGCTGTTGAGTGGGCAACAGGGTTACAGATGATGCTGTCTTTCTGCTGAGGCTTCCGCACTGGTGGCACGGCTTCTTAACTTTGAAAATCATAGAATCTTATGTTCCACTAGATGTGGAGTGGGTTTGCTCTGGGTGGAATGGGCTTCATGGAGAACAGTTGTGTATTCACTTTGTAACTCAAGTTAAAATGCTTGCACATCCCTGGAGGACCAGACAATTCTGAGAAATCACTTTCTGAGGGATGCTGGGGCATGGGGCCAGAATCTGTACAATGCCAGGAAGTCAACAGAGGCCTGTTCTATTGGCCTGGACACAGTGACTTGGTGCTTCCTGCCAGGCCTCCGGGGAATAGTCAGGCTTCCCGGTGTGTGAAAAGAGGACTCTTGCCTGCCCACAAAAGATAATTTTCCATTAAAAAGACGTGAGATACCTCTCCTTCAATCTCTATCCTCTAATATTTGCTTTTCCATCCTGATCCTTGACACCATAGCAAAAGCAGGCCTCATTGTCTGAGCTACTGAGGATCAACAGACAGAAGTGAAGGTCTCTTTATGGTTTGGGTCACCTCCATTCAAGCACCTCTCTCTAAATTAATGATTGTGTATGCCCAGTCCACTTCCACTTTTGACTCACAAACCCCCCACCCCCGATACACCTAACTTAAAGTGTATATTCCGTGTAGATGGGTGGGGAACTAAAACACTAAATCTTGCACAAAATTCTGAATTCCTTGAAGCCAAAGCAAATGGCAAGTGAAACATCTTAAATAACATTTAAAAACCAGTGTCTGGTGTGGAACCAAAGAGTAAGGATGGCATCAGAAACAAGACAGATACCTGGAAATATTTTTGAAGCCCTTAATTAATTGTGTAAATGTTGTATTGTTATAATTACAATGCAGTGGGTGTCAAATGCAAGGTGAAGATCAATGTGAGCTAGTAGAATGTTTTCAGGGGTTCAACAAGATGCCCTGATCAAGGACCTCGGGCTTGATCCCAGAGGCCTTCAAAGTGGAAGGAGAGAATCAGCTCCTACAGGCTGAATTCTCACCTCCATGCACATGCCATAGCATGCATGTACCAGGCCTGCATACATTTAGATAATACACACACACACACACATACACACACACAAATAAATAATCTAGAGAAAAATAATATATAGTCTCTCTAATGGATAGGATGTCATCTCTCTTGTTTCCAAGAATTAGGTTGCTCTTCCAATTGCATCCAGAATGAAAGCTAAGAATCTCTTTTATACTTTCGTCAGACTATACTTATTCTGCTTGGAGTGACTGAACTTCTGCCTAGCCATGTGGGCCTCCCTGCTGTGAACCTTACTCTACACTAGGACCTATGGGAGTGTCATTCTTTAGCTGGGATGTTCATCTGTGATTTCTGGAGGTAGGAACTTCTTCCCAAACATCCTCCCAAGCCTGAAATCACTTATCACTCTTCCCCACTTTATTTGCTGCTTTGACTATGAACTGTTTTGTGTTTGATGTATATTTATCCATTTGGTATGTGACTGGTTGCTTCCGTACAATAGGAACAAAGATTCCTGGGTCTTAACTCACCACTGTAACTCCAGGGCTAAAATTACTATCTACCAAGTTAACGACCTAATAAATATGTGGAATGAAATCGATGAGTGGATATTTAGATCCAGTTTTCAAGACAAGGCTCAATTAACCATTTTTTTTTCTTTCTCCTACTTAATATGATTTTTTCTAGCTCTCACGCTAAATTCATTTTATTAAATACTA